CTGAATATGAAATTTATTTTTTATATGTACTATTATTATTTATTTAATTAAGATCTTAAATTATTATTCTTATTAAAATACTTTTTTATTATATGGGGGATAGGGAAGGAAAATGAGAATTGTGAAAACCATCACATCGTATGTGATAATTTCACAATATAGCACTAGATCCACATAAATTATATTTTAAATGAAAGTCTTCAAAAGTCGTCTACAAAAGACTTCCACTAATTTCATACAAATCTCTAAAAAATCAATGAAATCCACAGAAGTCGTCACTTAAAAAATATTCATCAAAGTCTTCAAAAATTCCAATTGAATACACCCTCCTAAGACACGGTATAGTGTAGGACCCCTTTGGAAAATAAAAATAACTTGGATTGGTTAAGTTTAGAGATTTTATTCCCACAATCACGCCATAATTTATGAAGTCTTTACAACACTATCATATGAACAAGACATGATTAACTTGGAAAGTCAAGACGTGGTCACTTCAACAAAAATCATTGAAACTTCAACCCCAAAATAACAAGCTAAATCAATTTATCCCCAAAATAAACTAGATTTTGAAGTATACATCTCAAAAAATTTAAAAAATAAAATAAAAAATTAAGCAATTAATCGGAGGCAAAGAAGTCATGTTAAAGGATATCCATGTCGAAGAAACATAAAATAAATACCCAACATTTAATGACTTAACCTTTTAAATCTCAAGTCTTAATATTGAAAGTGTTGGAGTGAAAACACAATCTCCAATTCACCATAAAAGAGTCTGCTACAATTGCCAATCTACAATAAAAGAGTCCATATGGGCAGTTGTACGTGTCTAGAGGTGCAAATTGAGACCTGACCCAAGCTCGGCTCGTCTCGTCTCGTCTCGTCTACAAAGGTGACGTGGCTGCTTTTTATGTTCTATTTTTGTTCTTCTAAGAAAACGAAGAAGCAACAAATAATCATTAAAATATGTAACTCTGGGTTCTGTCAATCTAGTGCACAGTTGGTCTCCAACTTATAAAAATGGAGCAAATTGATAGTAAACATTTCATTATAATTACAGAATCAATTCACACGATAATGAAAAT